GATGTGCACACATGTATGTTCACTATGGATGCTTTCAGGAACAACTTAAAACAAAAAGATCTAAGCGTCCACTGGAGACTCCAAATGTCACAGAATCACAGAGATATCAAAACTGGAAGGGGCCTTGTCATCTAACCCTCTTTCCCTACCAGTTGATGACCATTGTGTGGAGGTATCATTTGGTGATATTACACATTTATAAGGAGTTTTGGGTAAACACTGACTTGGGAGTGAACACATGCCACAGGGGTAGGGGATTGATAGGCAAGATAGAGGGCTCATTATTTTGAACCTTGGAGCTGTTGTTTGTCCTTCATTCTCGAAGAGGACCAATGACATCATGAGGTTGATGAAGTCTTGACTTGCTCACAGATTGAGTTTAAGTGAGCCAGAGCTGCACAAAGTTGTCAGGTTTCCTCTCTCCTTCAGAGTCATCAAAGTCGAGTGGTAAGACAAAAGTCAAGATGACTGGTGATGGGTTAGAAGTAGGGCTCAGGGACTATACCCCTGGCTCATCTCTGAAAATGGGGAGGAACCAAAATGGCTACCAAGTCTTTTAAAGAGAAAAGGAACCAAGAATGGGTTGAAAAATGAGATCAGAAGAGGTTTATCTCATCAGCTCCCATGGGTTTAACACTCTTCTCTCTATGGCAATGATTCCCAGATCTATGTATTTAGCTTCAGTTTTTCATCTGACCTTCAGTCTCAGATCACCAATTGCCTACTGGGTATTTACACTGGATGTTCCAAAGACAGCTTAAACTAAACATGTTCAAACTCTTCATCTTTTCCAATAAACCCTCCTCTTTTCAAAACCCCCCTATTTCTGTCAAAGGCTCCACCATATTTCCAGTTTTGTAACCTCAGTATTTGCTTCAGTTTCCTCATCTCTAAGATGAGCTGGAGAAAGATATGGAACACCACTCCAGTATCTTTACCAAGAAAACCCCAAATGGGGTCACGAAGAGTTGGACCCCACTGAAATGAGTCAACAAAAACAAAAAGAAAATTGCCTTGACTCCATACTCTCCTTTACCCATGTGTCTAATAAAGTTGCCAAATCTTGTGTTTCTACCTTTATAATATCTCATGCATCAGACACCCTTCCTGCACCCTGCCCCCCAATTTTAGTTCAGGCTCTCATCACCAGTTTCCTGGATTATTGTAGCAGCCTCCTAATTGATCTCTCTGCTCAAGTCTCTCCCCACTACAGTACATCTTACACATTGCTGCCAAAGTAATTTTCCCTAAGCACAGATAGGACCACGTGGCTCTGCTATTCAACCAACTCTAGCAGCTTCCTTTTGCCTCTAGGATAAACTAAAATCTCCTCTGCTTAGCTTTTAAAGCCCTATAAAATCTGGCCCCAGCCTATCTCTCCAGCCTCATTAGACATCATTCCCTCTCTTCTACACTTTGTGATCTGGCCAAACTGGCCTTTCTATTCCTCATACAGAATACTCCATCCCCTTTCTTTGTACCTTTGCTATTGACCACTCCCTTTGCCTGGGATTCACTTCTTCCTTACTGCCTCCTCAAAGAGTGTCTCTCTTCCTTTAATATGCAGCTCAAATACCAACTTCTACATGAAGCCTTTTCCAGTTCTCCCGATTACTAGCTCTCTCCCTCCTGACCTACCCTGTGTTGAACTATTTTTTTTATGTATAAATAGAGTACTGGGCCTGGAGTCAGGAAGATCTGAGTTAAAATTTGGCCTCTGACATGTACTAGCTGTGTGACCCTGGGCAAGTCACTTAACCCAAGTTTGCCTCAGTTTCCTCAATTGTAAAATGGGGATAATAATAGCATCTACCTCCCAGGGGTGTCATCAAATGAGATAATACTTGTAAAATGCTTAGCACATTGCCTGGTACATCACTGGTGCTTAATAAATGTTATTTCATTTCTTCCCTTTCACTTTATATTTATCCTGAGTACACATACACATACACAGACACAGATATAGACACACACATTTATAAGTACTTGTTTTCCCGACTAAAACTCTTTGTGTGTAGAGATTGTTTAATTCTTTGAACTCGTATCCTTAGTGCCTAGCACAGTGCCTGCCACAGAAGATGCTTAATAAATACTTGTTGATTGATTGTTTTCTCTCTAGGTAGCATAGTGGCTTGCCACATGTAGTTCAGGGGCAGGTTGAGATACTAGTTATATTGGAGGAGAAGTTAGTTAACACAGGAAGCTGTGTTAGTCACTTATCCTTCAAAATGCTTACTTGGTCTTGGAACCCAATAATTTTATGATCTATAAGTTTGTTGTGTCATATATGTATGTGCATATACACACACATATAAAACATTTTATATAAAACATTTTATTTATAATATATTTAGATGTATTATAATACTATATATATTATAAAATATAATATTAAAAAATATAAACATTTTATATAAACAACATTTTATATATATGTATATAAATATATTCTTAATACCCCACAATTTGACAGATGAGGCAACTGAGGCTCAGAGAGGGTAATGAGCCCAGATTAGAATCCAGGATTTCTGCCTCCTAGTCCAGTGCTCCATCTACTCCACTATGCCACCTGGTGCAGCAGATTTGTGTTAAATTGAAAATGTGTAAGCTTAAAGCATTAGTTAATCCTTTCATTCACATGAGGACATAAAAAAGAGACACATAAAAAGACTTAGAGCTCAGCTTCACCTTATGAGTCTTTAACCAGGACTTAGATGCTGCAAGATCTCAGAGCTCTTCTTCCCTTCTTAGCTCTGATACCTTTTTGTTTCCCTCAGCCTTGGTATTTACTTTTGTCAGGAGCTCTCCCTCTACTGACCTCCCTGGCTTCCTTTAAGTCCTAACTAAAATCCCATCTTTTATAAGAAGCCTTTCCCATCCCCTCTTAATTCTAGCGCCTTCCCTCTTCTTCCCCTGTGGGCAGAAATTAGAGGGGGATCAGTTGCCTTTTAATTCTGACCTCGAGCGCTGTTTATCAGCAATGTTGGAAACCCATGGGTTTTGTAGGTCACCTAGAATAATGCCCTTGGATGCTGTCCTCCAGGGCGATAACCCAGTAATAAAATAGTTACGTTTAATTTAATTCTATTAGGTGAATACTACTAAGAAAAATTATATTAACAAGTGATATAACACCATAAACTTTTAAATCAGAATATTTAAAAATGGTTATATCTATTTTAGTCTACTATTTTGCCTATTACTATTTTTATCTAGTACATAGATTGGCATAACAGGGCAGCTAGTTGGTGCCCTGATAGTCAGGAAGACCTGAGTTCAAATCCAGCCTCACATATTTACTAGCTATGTGACCCAGGGCAAGTCGCTTAACCCTGTTTGCCTCAGTTTCCTTATCTGTAAAATGAACTGGAGAAGAAAATGGTAAACCTTTCTAGTATCTTTGCTCAAAAAAAAACCAAACAAACCCAAATGAGGTTATGAAGAATAGGACCAACTGAAATGACTGAACAACTAGGTTGACCTAATGGATAAATTGTTGGACTTGGGATCTGAAAAGCTTGAGTTCAGACCCTACATTTGGCATTAGTTATTTGACCCTGGGCAAATCACTTAGCCTCTTTGAGCCTTCACTTCCTCTTCTGTGAAATGGGGATACTAGTACCTGTGATACTCACCTTACAGGGTTTGCATGTATCTTCAAATGAGAAAACATATAAAAAGCATTTTGTAAATGTTAACAAGTGCTGTATGAATCTCATTAGATGTTATAACCATGATTATTGATATTTCTTTTATGCTTTGATCAGCTGGGCTAGAACGGTGTGGGTTCATTTTGCTTTTTTGTGTTTTCATCCTTTTGTACCTCCTGTTTCTTAAATTCATGCCCCATTGTGGTCACAGTGTTTAGTTACTAGTCTACTGGATTGACTTGAGATAAGCAAGATGTAAGAGGCTCAGGCTTAGGATGTGGTGATCTTAATAGGCTGACAACCATGAAGTGTTCTGCAATGTGACATTGCCATCACCAAAATTATATCATGCTGGCAAGTATAAATAAAAATACAGTCTACATCAACATGACCTCAACTTCCCTTTATTTTTGTCATTAATCTGACTTTAGATTACCATGTTTAATTTGGGACCTTGAAACAGAAACATGAAGAATCTGGAGAAAGTCTAAAGCAGTGGTTCTAACCTTTTTTCAGTCCCCATAGCTAATGCATCTAAGGAAACCTTTGTGTATCCTCTTCAAAATGAAAGAAAATAAATTCTAGAGTTTGCTATGCATATGCACATAAAAAATAAATTGCTTAATTTCAAATATGGTTATTTACAAATGGCTATATGATTTAACAAGCTTCTTACATCCCTTGGGGGCATATGTGTACCCCAGGTCAGGAATCCCTGGATAGTACTGAAAGGCTGTGGTACAGTAAAAGGAATCAGAGTCATGGTTCAAAACCTGGTTCTGCTGTTTATTACCAGTGTGAGACTTTGGGCAAGTAATTTTTTCTTTGTTAGGCCCTCATTTTCCTTATCTTTCATATAAGGGGTAGAATGTAACTGAATGACAGCTAAGATACCTTCCGGCTCTAAATCTATGATTCTATCTATGTTAGTTCTCTTACTATTCCCATCTGAGGGGCAGCTCGGTGGCACAATGGATAGAACACCAGGCCTGGACTCAGGAAGACTCATCTTCCTCAGTTCAAATCCAGCCTAAGACAGGTAATAGCTGTGTGACCCTGGGCAAGTCACTTAACCCTGTTTTCCTCAGTTTCCTCATCTGTAAAATGAGCTAGAGAAGGAAATGGCAAACCACTCCAGTTTCTCAGTCAAAAAGACCCCAAATGGGGTCATGAAAAGCCATATTCAACTGAAATGAATGAATAGCAAAATTCCTGCCTGGTTCTGCTTAGAGAAAACTACTGCTGCCCTAATCCTTTTTGAGTTAAGGGTCCCTGCTTCCCAACTTTGCTTAACTATCCACAGGTACTACCAAAGTCCAACATCTCTTTCTGGTTTTTCTTGCTTTTCAGAAGTGGACCTGCCATTGAAGAAAGATGGGTTCACATCAGAAAGCACCACACTGGAAGCCTTGTTACGAGGTGAAGGAATTGAGAAGAAAGTGGATGCCAAAGAAGAAGAGAGCGTCCAGGAAATACAGGTACAGACTTGGGGGGTGATTGCTGGAGGGTTTCCCTGATTTCTCCCCTGCCTGTCCTGAGGCAAGGATGTCTGACCTATGTGGTCACCGTTGCTCTCTAATATCCTGTTCTGACAGGTGGAATTCACAGGGATGGTAGATTTAGAGATGAAGGAGACACTGTACCTTTTGGCTCCTGGCATTTTCTCTGTCTATCCCCCATGCCTGGAAGGCTCTCCCTCTACTGACCTCCCTGGCTTCCTTTAAGGCCTAATTTAAATCCCATCTTTCATAGGAAGATCCCTAATCCCTCTTAACTCTACTACTTTCCTACTGTTAATGATTTCCTATTTATCCTGTATAGAGCTTGTTTGCATGTATTTGTTTGCTTGTTGTCTTCTCTATTGGAGTGTAAGCTCCTTGAAGGTGGGAATTGTCTTTTGCCTCTTTTTCATTTAGCACAGTGCCTGGCACATGGTGGGCACTTAATAAATGTTTGACTGGTTGATGGTTGTCTCCTCCATTAGATTGTAAGCTCCTTGAGGGCAGAAACTATTTTTTCCTTTTTTTCTGTATTCTCAGTGCTTAGCAGAGTATCTGGTATATAGTTGACACTTAATAAATGTTTATTGATTGATTTGGATGGAAGAATCCTTAGAGATCATTCAGTTCAACCCCATTCATTTTACAGATGGGCAAACAGGTCAAGAGAGGTTTGATAACTTTTGTCCAGGGTTGTACAGATAGGAAGCAGGAGAATCAGGATTGGAAGATAGATTGAGGCCAATTCTAGTGCTTTTTCCAGTGGGTTGGGCTGCATCTCATTCATGGGAAGGCATAAAATTCAGCAGATTTGATGCTTCATGAGATTTTCCTTTTCCCAATATTAAACTAGGGGCTGGTTCTGCTTTGAATACACTAAAATCGGTCCAACATCTAAAACATCATTTTCTACAAATATATGCACAATTCACTATAATAATGAGTTCGTATTTGTATAACACTTTACAAATGACCACAGAGGGAGGGCAAGAAACAGTGCTGTCCTCCTAAAAGTTGTGTCTATCTTAATACTGCAGCCCAAGGTCCCTTTAGCTTTCCTGGCTGCCTTGTCACAGTGCTGACTTATATTGAGCTTGCAGTCCACTAAAACCCAAGATCTTTTCCAGAACAACTGTTGCCTAGCCACGTTGCCTCCATCTTGTACTTGTGAAACTGATTTTTATTCCCACGGATAAAACTTAATATTTATTCCTATTGAATTCCATCTAATTAAGATCCATCCCAGTGGTTTAGCTTGTCAAGTTTCTTTTTGGAGTATTGGATCTTGACAGTGTTAGCTTTCTATCCCTGCTTTGTATCATCTTTGTATCATTTGATGAGCATGCCACCTATACCTCTGTCCAAGTCATTGATAAAAATGCTAAACAGCCTAGGGCCAAACACAAATCCCTGGAATCTTCCATTGGTAACCTCCAGTCCTATTGGCACCGAGCCATTTCCTCTTTAGAGCCTTTCTAGCCAACTAGTTCTGACTCCATTTAGTTGTGTTATCATCTAATCTATATTTTCCTTCTTTTCCACAAGAATAGTAAGTTATTTTATTTTTTATTTTTTAAATTTTTATTTATTTATTTTTTTTTGGTGAGGCATTTGGGGTTAAGTGACTTGCCCAGGGTCACATGGCTAGTTAAGTGTCAAGTGTCTGAGGCCGGATTTGAACACAGGTCTTCTTGTCTCCAAGGCCAGAGCTCTGGCGCCACCAAGCTGTCCCTATGAGTTACTTTATTAAAAGCTAAATGTAAGCAAACTATCTCCACAACATTCTTCTCTTTTATTAGTTTAGTAATCCTGTCAAAAAAGAAAATGAGGTTAGTCTGGCATGACCTGTCCTTGAAGAAGCTGGGCTGGTTCTTTATAATTCCTTTCTTCCCTTTCTAGATGTTCTCCACCTGTTTCTTTAATGATCTGTTCTATAATTTTCTTGGGAAATGAAGTTAGGCTCACTGGCTTATGGTTTGCAGACTATTCTCTTCCATTTTTAGAAAAAATTGTGACATTCCCAATATTCTCCAATATTATGGTAACTCCCCATTTACCATGGTTTAGTAAATCACATCTGCCAGTGTTGAGTTTTTTGGTTTTTTTGGGTGACTTGAGAGTACAATTCTTCTAAGACAAATGACTTGAATTCATCATAGGCAACTTGATGTTCTTTTATGATTGCCTTACTTATCTTGTTTTTCAACTCCCTGTGAGTCATTTTTGTTCTCTCATTTCTGGTACTAAGGTCGTTGTCCTTGACAGGGAAAATAGAAGCAAAATAAGATTTGAGCAGCTTTACTTTCTCTTTGTTGTCAGTTATCATTATTCTACCCACCCCAAGCAAAGCTTCTATCCCTCGTTTAATTTTCCTTTTTCTCCTAATATAGCTAAAAAAACAACAACCCCCTTTTTGTTGTCCCAAACTTTCCCCCTCCAGCTGTATTTCATTGTGAATTTTGGCACTTCTCCTACTATTTCTATAGGATGGCGCCACAATCTTAAAATTAATCCTCTGTCACCCAACTTTGCTTCTGTCTTCTGCACATTTCATCCTTTTTCTTCCTTTAGGATGTACACTTTTGTTTCAATTGGTCTTAAGTCAGTGTACAGGTAAAGCTTCTCACCTCTCCCAAGCACTGATATCAATCTTTTTGAACTCCTAGGGAGGCTTTCATTCACATCTATGTTGGGGGGAAAGAAAGGGGGCCATTATGACTCTGACAATGAAAAAAAAGGAACAAGCAGTAAGGTGAAGGTACAAAATTGGTTTTTGAAGGATTACATAATTTATAAGTAATTAATACTACTACCTCCCCCTCCTCACCTTGTCTGGATTTAACAACAATAATAACTAGAATTTTTACTGTGCTTTAAAGTTTGCAAAACACTTTATATATGTTATCTAATTTGAGCCTCACAACAACCCAGTTAGGTGCTATTATTACGCCCATTTTATAGATAAAGAAACTGAGATAAACAGAAGTTAAGTTCCTTGCCCAGGATCTCACAACTAAGTAAGTTGTCTGAGGCAGGATTTGAATTCAGGTCTTCCTGATTTCAAGTCAAGCACTCTATCCACTGTACCATCCAGCTGATTCCTTTTGTAAAGTAGAGCAGCTTTCTTCTTATAGTAATGCATCACAGGATATTTAGAAATATACGTGTGCATGTGTGTGTGTGTGTGTGTGTCCTGAAGACACTCTGTTGGACTTTGGGGATATTTGCTTCCAACATACTCAGAATATTCTTCACCTTCACAATTCCAGCTTTTAATCCTGGAGTCAAATAAAGCCATGCCAATCTCATATCTTTTGGTGGGAAGCAATTATCATGTCATACCCTTTGACAAAACAACAACAACAACAACAACAATAAAATGCAACTGTCCATTTAGAAGCATTTGTGGCAGACAGTGGAGGACTCAGATTCATCATCTACCTGCTCACTGATTCACATTTGCTAAAAGGTATACAGGGAGGCCAGCACAGAACCTCTAATCTAGACAGACAAGTTGAGGCAGGCAATGATCTGGAGGCTAGGGATTTGATATCCTTTTGCATACTTTAAGCAAAGTCTGAGTTATGTGGTATTACCGCTAGACGATACTGCACTGGCATTTTTAATGTGCCAGGTACTGTGCTAAATGCTTTACAAATATTATCTCCTTTGATCCTCGCAATAACCCTTTGAGGTAGGCGCTATTATTATCCCCATTGTATAGTTGAGGAGCTTGAGGAAGACAGAGGTTAAGTGACTTGCACAGGGTCATACAGCTAGCAAGTGTCTGAGGCTGGATTTGAACTTAGGTGTTCCTGAGTTCAGGTCCAGTGTTCTATCCACTGTACCTCCTAACTGCTTCTAGAAAGCTTGGTTCCAGATCTTTTCCATGTTATTCTAGCGGTGACAGTACCATGTTCAATGGCATATTTCAGGGGCAGAATACCTTTCTTGCTCATCCTCTACATTAAGTGTCTTGTTGCCCATACCCTGTACTTCTTGTACATCTTGATGTCTAGGGCATTTAACAACAGAGGGGAAGACAGCCTGAGGGTAATCTTTTCTTGAAAAATCAGCTTTGCATATGTTAGAGCCCTTGTCAACAACAAAGGAAGCCAATAGTATCATCCATAGTTAACCATGAAGTGGCAATATTAAACTCTTAAGAAAGAAAGGAGGTGGTGATACAACATCAGGAGTAAGGGTAGAAGTGGAGGAGAATGAAGTCTAGTGAATGTTGGGTGGAGGAACTCACAGTTACTTGCGTATTTCTTTTTAAAATTTAAGTTGATTGGCAAATCCCATTTTTTATTCCTCCCTGGAATTGAGTTTCCATCCCTTTTAGGATAGGAATTTTAATTTGTAAAATTTTAATCCATGGCATCCTACCTATCTTTCCTCTCAATCCTTTGAAATCTGTTTTCCAGAAATCTAGATTGCATGTCAGATTTTGCCCAGATTTGCTCATTTTCTCTCTCATAAACTCTGGGAGGGAGTAGTTACTCCCTTCCAATCCCCAACCAGAGACCCATCATTTCCACCTATCACCAGTTGCTTTTTGTTAGCGATGCTTAGATCCAAAATAGAATTTCTTCTTTTTGTTTCCTCCTCCTTCTGAAAGATGAAATTATTTTTAAGGCAGCTCAGAAAAATGTATAAGCTGCTATGCTTTTGCAAGAGCTCCATTAGCTATCTGGATAATTGAAGTCCCTTACCACTATTGTACTATGCTTCTGTGCCAGGCTTGTATTCTATTTTCCCCAATCCTTGTCTATTTACACTTTCTTCTCAGACCATCTATAGTGTACCCCAGTTTTAAAATCACTTTTGTTTATCCCTCCATTGACTTTGACCCATATATTCTCCATCATGCTTTTCCACTTTAGTTGATGGATTTCATTAGATTAAGTATACATTGATAAATAGTGCTTCCCCACTCCTTTTTTTAAACTAACCTATTAGATTTTGAATAAGCTATA